GGCTCCTTTGATGTACCCATTCCCTGCAGGCTTGAAGTTGCAGAGCCGCCCGATAACTGTCCGATAAAAACTAAGAGATTCTCTTATCCGAAACAAAGGCTCGATCGGGATCCGGAACTAGTGCGAAGTTATGACAAAACTATACCTCATAACCTTTCACAAATACTTTACGTTATTAGCATGCGTACGAAAAGTCACACTGTTTAGGAACAACGCGCCAACCAACTCTGTATGCACTCTGAGGTTGTAACTGGTACCCACACTATCAAGAGTAGGTCTGACGAATGACCCATCGCACTACTATAACGAAGACTTCAAACCTATCGTCTGCAAACTCTCCTACCACACAACCCATCCAATAAGCCTAGATCTTGCACATTCGTCGCTAAGGATACATCTTCCGTTATTGACCGTCCTTTCTTGCTGAAGATTCCGGAACTACTATGGTCGATGAAGTTGAAACCACATTTGGAACCTCCCGCTCTTAGTGAGAAACAACAGATAAAACAAATACGATCTTCAACTGTTGGAACCTAGAGCCGAAGCATATGGCGGTCGTTCTTAGACGGGATGAAACTACCCAAGAACGAACAATCGGTACAAACAGTGGTTACTCCTTGAGTTTGGAAGAAGTTGGAAGAAGAACCATTATTTTATCAACAGCCTGCCTATGCTGCTGCAAAGAAGAGTGGTCAAAAGGGATAATGATCGAGTATGTTGGTATTTCCATGTATCCTGCATAAATAATTGAGTTGTAGGTAGCTTAGGGGGAACCATGGCTGAGCAGTGTTTGATGTTACGAGCTGGCGTGATTGATTTGTGGGGTGGTGTATCGACTTCATTGGGAAAATTAATCAGGCCACAGGTTTTGTTCCGGTTTGGTTCGATTAAGCTGTGCACCCACGTGACCCATTACACAGATAACCTTCGAATGTACTTTACCCATCATGATGCCTCGACTTTGGTCCGATGGCATACTTTGTACTTTGTTGTTCTTGTTCACATGCCGCCTCTAAGTGCTCCTCGTCCCCTTCATTTGTGCGTCATCTACCTTTTTCGTCCTTGAATTCTCGTTGTTCCACGCTTGCCAATCTCGTGCGTCATTACATACGAACTACCCTGGATCCATTCCCCCACCTACGTTTGGTTCTAGTTCATTGTCATTCCGTTCACTTTATGTTGACCTTCATATTTCATCGTTCTCTCCATTTGCTTAGCGGACTGCTTTGTTCCATAGGATCCTGTGAACCGTTTGTGTGCCTTGCATTAACCAATGACTGCGCTTCATTATCGAACACTTGCGATTGGTGTTTCTATCCCTTAAATTGTCCCGTTTCTATGCCTAGTTTCCAATCCTTTTGGTGACCGTTCTGCAGGTGTTTTGTTCTGCGCATTGACCCGCTTTGTATCTTGTTCTTGTACTGTGGAGACCGGATTGACCCACAATTTGAGGTATGATGTTCCCTCCCGCTTATAGTAAACGTAGATTAATAACTTCTCATTATCTGGAATCGGACTTGGGGTTCGTATCTACGAGTTACTCAACCACTGGACGTCAGTCCGGTACAGGCCTTATAAGCTCGCTTTTTCCTCTTCAAGAAGTGTCCAATCCCCATGCACCCTACACATTCTTATTTCCTTTTTGTATGTTGTCAGCTTGGTAGCGATCAGCACATTTTGCCTCGCTGTATAATATTCACAAATGTCACTCAAGCCAAGGGACAGAGTTCATCTTTCATATTGTTCGTTAGGACCAAGTGGTGCTCAACCCTGTTGTAATATTCACCTTACACTGCTACATAATAAAAACAGCGGTTCGTGGTAAGCAGCTTCGCCTTCCTCCGGCTCAATAATTAATTACTGTGAATCACCTTTCGTAGTTAGCTAGTTGCGTGACCAATGACGGTAGCGCATCATAGGAGAAAGTTGCTCGCATTTCCAAGGCTCGAGCAGCATATGCAGGTCTGAAATACCTTTGGCGTAGACGCGATGTTGCACTGAAGTTAAAAGGTCGTGCATATTGTGCTATCGCTCGTTCAGTTTTGCTGTATGGTTGTGAGACCTCGAATTTGCGAGTAGAAGATATCTATCGACTAGAAGCTTTCGGTTATCGATGTATGCATAGTTTAGCCCACGTGGGATAGAGTGAACGGGTTAGTAATCTGGAAGTAAGTCGTCTTGTGTTTGAGAGTTTAGCAGGGATAGACCTGCTAGCTCATCGAACTCAGGTGAGTAGGCTTCGCTGACCAGGGCACGTATTGCGTATGCTCAGCTGTCGTCTGCCGCATTGCTCTTTATTCGCTGTAGCCGCTCCGGCGCGGCGGAAACCACATGGAAGTCAACAGATGACGTGTGAACGAAGCACGAAGAAATACACAGAGCCAATAGCTAGAGTAGGTGTTACGCACCTTCCAGTTTAGTGTCCGAAACACTCCGCAGCTGGTTGGTTGGAGATATTGAAGGATATGGCAGCGATCTAACAGCAAAGGCGTTCTTGTAATTTCTTATCAGACAGGAGTGCTTGAAACGGTATGTTTGCAGAGTTCGATTGCGTGCTCTGTGTGTTGACCATAGTGGCTCATCTTCTCCCTCTCTCAAAATAGGTTCACCTTGTCCACCTTAAATTTTACCACTACTATTGTGTGCATTGCGAGTTTGGCAGCAATCAGTGAAGTTCGCTTCACTGTATTTCGCTGTATGATGATGATGATGTGGCATGTGGAAAAACTATCCATAAAAACGTCAAAAATGTTTCTCTCATTTCAGCTGTATATCTGAACACATGTTCAATGCTTGGTAGCAAGCGAGAGAAGTTCGCTTCTATTTTCCGAAGGTTTGGTTCAGTTCAATTTGACCAGTTTTTCCAGGTTGGAAGGTCTGATTCAAAATGGCGTCATACCTTACGAGCAGAGGCCTGTATGGTATGATGTGTACAAAGCCTTTCCGCCGAAAGAAGAACCTGTGTTTAACAGACCAATACCTGATAAAGTAATCCGTCCTATTCTTTATCCAGAAGACATAGTGAGGGCGTAAGTTTATAGATGTTTTATGATTGTGTCAAATCAGAAAAGCCTTTCATAGGTACAAAAGGTTAAGCCCAATTAATGTCTTCAAATTAGTGGACGATAGGTCTTCGTTATCAAGGTGGTTGCTGTTTTTATTTTGTCTGATGTTTTTGTTTTAGGCTTTTAAAGCAATACGAAAAATTGAAAGCCACTCATCCGGATCTGGAAAGTGATCAGCTATTCTCCTTGGCCGAAAACGATCTCCAAAAGGAGGGAACCATATTGTACCCCAACAACTAGTTTGTAGATAAATGAAAATAAAATGTTTGTCCCATTTGATTTTTTATTGGTGAATTTTCTACCTTATCTTTCGTATTTGGAAGACCATTGCTTGATTCCTATCGCAAAGTTATATTTGCTTCCATCGACCTGTCTTCATCTTGTGCTTCTTTCGCAGCCAACTTACCCCGCTTATTTTTTTTACCACAAGTGATTTTGTCTCAGCGAGTAGAATAGTTGGTTCCGTATACTCCCAACTGCAGCTCATCTTATATAAGAGAACACTGCACAAATTAGTTAGTGAATAAAATCACCCAATCTCCTGAGATCCATTGATCACACTGAACCGTTGAGACATACAGCGCACAGTCGGCTACTGACTGGCATCCGGTCAAGAAGCTAGCGCTCGACACTGGCACTTAGCGCAGTCCCAAAACCGGCAACACCACGATCGTCGGATGCCCAATCGGCTGATACTCGAGAACGAAAGCATGAGAATGAGATTGTGCCAGGAGAACGCATGGG